GCCTGGCCTGCTGGCGGTGAGGCCTCAGCACAGGTTCAGTGGCCCCTGCCCACGCTCGGTCCCAGAGAGCGCTGCCCCTTCAGCCCTCGTCCTGCAGCCAGACGATTCGGTTCCTCCCCGTGAGGCCCCCGTGCTTTGCAAGCTCTGTGGAGCTTAGGACGAGTGTTTGTGAACCACCGACTCTGAGCTCGGGCCCTTTTAGGGGACTCCTGGGTCTCCAGCAGCTCTCCATCTCACCGCGATGGAGGCCCTGCTGATTTCACAGCCATATGTTGTGGGGATTTCTCTTCCTGGCACTGGTGCTCTGGGCTGGAGAGCCCAGTGTGGGCCCGGGACCCCTTGCTCCTCAGGGCGGACCTCTACAGATGAGATATCCCTTCCAATTCTCAACCACTGTCACAAGTGGGCACAGGTAACCAGGTTCTTGGTGATTGCCAACAATGACTTGAACCAGACACACTAAAAGTTTATAGGGGAGGGAGGCAGGGAGAGAGAGAGAGAGAGAGAGAGAGAGAGAGAGAGAGAGAGAGAGAGAGAGAGAGAGAGAGGAGATTTATTAAGTGGTAGTACACTCTACCGAATAGGGGAGAGGGTTAACTACGAGCAGAGATTGACCCTCAGTGGCCTGAGGGTTTCTATTCTTATAGGGTGGATTTTTCCTGGCTAGGTTTAGTAAGCTTTTGTTGTACATGTACAAGTAGTTACATTACTTTTAAGCTGCTGTGCATGTGGTCTTCCATGATTTTCCTTGATTAGCTACAGGGGAAGGGGTCTCACAATGTTAATTTATTACAATGAAGCAGGGCTATGTGGCATCTTCTGTGTGCGTGCAGTCATGATTCACCATGATTCAGCCCTTTTCCAGGAAGTGGGAACAACTGGTCTTATAACAGGTTCTCTGTCCTGTATTGATGTCCTTTTTCTTAGTCCTGAGGTGCCTCCAGAGTTTCCTCACTCCTGACTATCTCCTGCCATCACACATGGGTGGGGGACCCACCTGAGACAGAATAGTAAGAAGTTAGGAATATTCCTGGGAAAGTGGAATGGGGAACACTGAGACAAGAAAATCAAACAAGGCCAAACAGTTGGAGCAACTTACAGCCAGCTGGTGAATCACAAGACCTTATCTCCCCTAACCAAGGAAACTTGAGAGCAAATGGTTTATACCTCTCCTCCCTAACCAGGGACTACATAGCTTCCCCAGCCATAAACCACAAGTGTCCAGGAAGAGAGGAATGCTAATACAAATGGAGAGATAACACTTGATCAAAAGGAGTGAGCATGGGAAGAATCTGCACAACTCCCCTTTCACCTCCCCATCCCCTTACTCCCAAGAGAAAGAGCACGTCTTTGCTGCCCCTTGGAATGTCCCCCTTCTAGATTCCCACATTTCCCCTATATAAACTTGCTTCTGAAAGCTCAAGGGAAGGTGAATGTTAGGGTGTTACCCACCGTCTTCTCAGATTGCTGGCCTCTGATATTAATAGAAGTGCAATTATAATCCAATCCCTGTCTCTGCCTTTTGGCTGAATGGTGACAAGAAGCACGAGGCCTGGACTCGGTTGCCCTCCGGTTGCAATTTCTGGTGACTCCACCAGGACGACTTCGGGACTGTCCAATCAGGGGGAGTCCCAAAGGCTGCCTGGAAAGGGAAGCCCCAACCCTGAACCAAGATCTTCAGTAGCTGCCTGGCAATTTTGCCAAGGGAGATCTTTGGTCCCAGGACCGTGGCAAATTCCTGTCACCTCTTTTAGTAAGAGTTTGGATTTGCGCTCAGAAAGTCTGTCTGGTTTCTGGCCTTTGGCCATCTGGTGGTCTATAGACAAAACCTGGGATAAGTCGATGTTGCATTGGGCTTTCTGTAACAAATATCTGGTAATCAGTTTCTCTGGGGAGTCAATGGACTCCAAATTGGGTAAGTCTCTGGTGTGCTCGACCAGGAGCCCTACCCCACCACTTGAGTTCTTTGAACCATTTGGGATTCTGTAGAAATCAATAGGCACCGCTTGGTGGTAAGCAAGGCTCAGTGACAAGAAAAATCCCAGTTCCCCAGTGTGGGATTTTGTTGGAGCCCTCTTCTGGCTTTGGTATATGGATTTTTGGGTGTTGTTTGCTCTTCTTGCTGCATACTGCTTTTTAATTGTCTGTTACTTTTGTTTCACTGTTCCTCTGTGAGAAGTCACTTTTTGTTTGACAGCTCTCATCTGTCTGAAGTGGAACTTTGGCTACAGCTGTTCCTTGCTGGCATTTTTTCTTTTTAAACCTGGGGACGCAGTTTGATCTTTGCTGCTTTGCGCACACCAGGAATCCTCTATCTCTGTGTTTGGGCTTTGTGCCATTTGGACTTCATCGGGGTCATTTATGGTACTGGTTGGTGTGATATAAGAATCGAAGGCTAGTCCCAGTCCCTCCTTTAAAGGAGTACTTGTTCGTCCGAACTCTGTCTTTTGCTTTAAATTTTGTTTCTGTGTCTGTTTTGAAAAGAAGCAGCTTGGTCTTGATCCGAACAGAGAGTCATTAGGTTGCACTTTAGACTAATTAAAATCATTTTTTCAGAGGTCTGGTAAATAGGATATCATACTATTCTAATCAGAAAGGATTAAAATTGATGCTTTAAAGAGGGAAAAATCTTATGTTGTTGTTTTTTTCCCCATTTGTTTCAACATACTCTCTAACATCTCTTGTGATTTCTTCTCACCAATTGGTTCTTCAAGTGTTTAATTTAGCCACATTTCTGAAGTTTTCAAATTTATTTCTGATGTTCATTACTCCTTTTATTCCATTGTAGTCAGGAAACAAACTTGATATGTTTCCGATTTGTAAAGTTTCTAAAATTTTGTTTTGTGGTCTAACAGACAATCTATGCTGGAGTATATTCTGTGTGCACTTGAGAAGAATGTGTAGTTTGATTCAGTTGGGTAGACTGTTATATATATGTTTGTTAGGTCCAATTGTCCTATAGTGTTGTTCAAGTCCTCTGATTCCTTAGGGATCTCCTTTCTCATTGGTCTATCAATTATTGAAAGGTGCCCATCCTGCTGTGCCCTGCTGTGCCCACGTGGAGGTGGTCTCCTACATGAGCTCCCTACCTCTAGGCTGAGGCATGTCCACCTATGCTGAGGTGGCCATGTTCACCATTGTCCCTCCAGGAGTTGTCAAATATCATAGGATCGCAGTGTACCATCCCCAGCCCCCTCTACCAACTGCCATTTCCAGATTCTGGATACCCTGCCTTAAGGTTTGGTGGCTTCTGCATCATCTCCCACCTCCAACACGTTAGGAATTTAACGATGCCCTTGAAAATAGTAGATCCTCCCACCCTTGCTTTGGCTCACTCGATGCTTTAAAGGTTTGACCACAGTCTCTACTGCCTTACCTTGACCATGTCTCTCTTCAAGGGACATTATCGCCAGTAACTTTTATTCACACTCACACACCCACACCTTGAATGTTTTCTACACTACTGTACCCCGTTTGTGTATTAAACACCAGTCTCCTGGGAATGGAGTCTGGCAGAACCAACCCCCAGCCCTCTCAATCACAAGTGCGTCCTGAGTCCCAGGCCCGCACAGCCCACAGCACAGTACTGGTGGAAGGAAGGAACCAGTTCCCAGCTGTCAGTGAAGGGGAAATTGAACACAGAGTCAGACTCAACCTTGTGTGACCTAAGGAGGCATTCTGAGACTGAGCTGTGCTCAGAACCAACATTTCCAGGAAAATATATGTTATAGGCTGGTCGAACAGTATGTGAAATGGACCGTGCAACAACACTGACCTACCAGTGGGCCTCACCATAGAAACTGGGTGGCTGCTTTCCACTTGAGGGTATGGAGATGACTAGACTGGAGGAGGGGCATTGGCTGGGTAGGGCAGGAAGGAAGTGACCTCTCGATCAGCCAGGCAGTTGCCCCAAGATTGGCCCTCAGCGAGCACAACAGACTCATTCCCTGTCCTTCAAGCTGAAGACTAATCTGCGCCTTTTTCCATGTTGACTGATCCTTCCCCTTCAAACTGCAAGTTCCTGGGCTGTGGTGTCTGCCTCCACCCCTCCAGTGAATCCAAGGAAGGAATGGACAACACTGGCAGCCAAGGGTGAAAGGTGAGAGCTGAAGAGGAGGAAAACAGCCCAGAGGTTCCTGGGTGACTTGTCCATGTGCATGGTAGCCTCAGAGGGAAGGAAGGGCTCCACAGAGGACTGGGCCTGGGAAGCGGGGAGAGGAGCTCAAATGTACATTTTTACACATGCTGAAGAACAGGTGCAGGGAAGGCCGTTGGCAGAAAGCCATGGAGGGTATCAAGGATGTTCAGACAACAAAGCAGGGTAGAGGGGACACCCAGTGACAGACAGGAGATGGGAAGATGCACTGAGCTCTGGAAGGGAGTCCTGAGTTCCTGCTGAAGATAAGGGAAAATGCAGTGATGAATGCCATGAGAATTCAAATGTGGGCAAGACCAGGACAGAACACCAAGAGGGACTCCAGGAGAAAGGGAGGAAATGCTACTGTGGCCAGGCAGAGCCACTCAGAGCCCAGACCCAGGGCATCAGGTGGCCTCACTGCAGGGCTCCTCTCACAGGCTGGCCCAGAAGCCCCGCAGGCAGAAAGCCCACCACGGAATGTCACAGGAACTGTCCGGGAAAACCTCTCAGGTGGGGCAGCCCCAGGCCCTCCCTGCCCCGACTCCCATTTCCACAGGCCCTGCGCGCAACACGCACCCCACCGAGTTTGAGAGAGACTTTAATTTCAAAATGCTGCCAAATGGCGTGGGGAGGAAGCAGAGGAAGGGAGCGAGGAAGCCCTGGCGGAGGTGGGACAGGAGGGCACGAGCTCGGCCACAGCTCCTGGGCTCCAAGGATACCAGCTGCTCCTCTTGCACGAAGGCGCTGGGTTCGACCTGTCAAACACAGCCCAGTCAGGGAGGAGCGAGCGAACGGGGCCCGCCCACAGCACGCCTGAACAGCCACCACCGTGCGGAGGGGTATGGTGTGTGTAACACTTACGTTAAAGTCTCCGGAACGTGTCAGCCAGGGACCGCACGGCCGCTGAAACACAGAGAGGCATAAGCAGGCGCTCCAGAGAGAGGGGCAGAGAAGCCCACCCCCCTGTCCCTTTGGGGCACCGCCGGGCCAGGAAACCGGCAGCCCCCTGGAGAGCCCTTGCCAAGGAGCCCTGGGCCTGACTCCCTCACCCACCACCTGAACTCCATGCGGAAAAGTTTTCCAAGCAGGACACAACCTGCCAGGAGCACGCAAGCTTTGGGGCATACCAGAACCATTCAGAACTTGTCACACAAACAAGACCCGCAGAAGCCACACAGGCAGTGTTGAGGGGAAATCAGAGAGGCATCTCCAAACGTCCTAAAGGAGGAGAGCGCTGGGTCTGGTTCTCGCTGGCACAGTGTGCTCGCATTGCGAACCACGCTTCCCTCTTTGTGCACAGACCTGGCTGTGCATGCACACACAGCGGGCTCCAGGGCCGGGCCTGCCGGGTTCGCCTCCCCACAGCAAGGTTGGGCCCTGGCCCCTGCAGCCCGCACCCCGGCCCCGACCCAGCCCAGGCCTCAGGTTATTCATACCAAGTTGTTGTCTCAGGTCGCGTATTTCTCTCTGAAGCTCGGGGCACTAGGCCAGCAGACACCGGAGAAGGAGAAATGATTAGTATACTCTGGCCTCCTCACTCCTGGACGTCCCCACTCCCCGCCCCGGGGGCTAGACTGGCTCGGGCTCTCCTCAGCGGAAAAGGTAGGCACATACCCTCCATGAGATGTGGGATGGTGGTGGTGAGGTATTGGGGGTGGGGATGGGTCAGATTGATGCTGAAACGGGTCCCATCGTCTAGTCTGAGCCTGCATTTCTTGGAGCCAGAGGAAGCATTACCCGAGGACAACCCCCTGCTCCAGGTGGTTGCTGTTGCTGTGGTTGCTGAAGCCCTTCTGGTCTTGCCGGGTCTTCGGGAGGTGCCTGGTCACCTGAGAGGGAAAGAACACAAAATGCCCCTTCCAGAGCTCCCAGGGAGGAAGAAAGGCCTTAGTCGGATCGAAGGTGAGGCAGCACCACCCTCTGCTGGCAACAAGCTGCCCCTGCTTTGCCCAGCACCTCCACCCTTCTTTCTGGGTCCCCCTGCACAGTTCCCCAGGGGCAGCCCATCCAGGACTGTGGTCCCCAAGGCTGTGTGTGGCTCTGGGTTGGACGCTTGCTGAGCTGCAATGCAAACAGCCCCTGGGACGAGCTCTCTGGCCCAGTGGGACGTATCAGAAAAGGCCCTGTTCTGCTGGAACTCTGCGTCTGGAGTTGCAGCTTGGGGCACTGCCACGAAGGACCCCTGCATGAAAACCCCATGCAGAAGAGGAGGTGACTTGCGTCCGGCCCTGTGGACACCTGTTTCCTGTGGGAGAAGCTCTCTGGCTAGGCAGGGAGGCAGGGAGAAGGCTGAGGTCCCTGCAGACCCAGAGCCAGAGCCGGCCGTCACCCCCTCGTTCTTTCCCCCCTCCACTCCTAGAAAACCCACGGCACTCACTGGATGGTGCGGGCCCACTGGGCAGGACTTCTCCCTGGCTCAGGGCCAGGGGTTCAGATTGTGCCGGATCCTGGGTGTTGCTGCTGTTCTCGGCGCCAGTGTCAGGAAACGATGGTCTCTGCCCCTGCGTCGGAGACTAAAACAAAAAGTTCCCATAGATTTGAACTCGGGATGTGTGCAAGTGGGCGAGTGTGGTCTTGTGTGCGCCTATGTGTGTAGGGGCTGGGGTGGGGCAGGGAATAGGGAAGGCCTTTCCGAGTCTCATGTTGTCAGCGCTTCTTCCCTCAGTCAGTCCTGGACCAGGAGGCAGAGCTCAGCTAGAGAGAACAGTGGCGTGCAGAGAACGTCCGGGCACCCTGCAAGGAGGGCTGGGGAGCACCTTCGAAGTAGGACTCAGGCAGCTGTTGGGTCTGCACACCAAACTTTTGCATCCCAAGCTTTGGAGGGGTCCCTGATCCAAATCAGCTGTCCCTGCCTCCCCTTCCATCCCAGTCCCTTTCTGGTCGAGGTGGCCGGGGAACTTGCCACTTGTGGAGTCTGTTGCCCAGCACACACGGAGTGCTGTCTTAGGGTTTGCCCTGCTAAAACCGCTCTGATCTGGCATTCTAATGACCGAGGCCACCCAACAACAACCCCCAAGTGACAGACAGCGGGAGCATAAGTAAAGATGTGCAGGGGTGGGAAGGAGAAGGGTGAGAAGCAGGGAGAAGCATGGCCTCATACTCACCTGGCTCTCTGGGAACGGGTCTCTGTTTGGTTCCTTATCTTCTCCTTCTCCCGCCACCGGCTTGGACACCCTCCTCCTCCCGGCCACAGACTTCTGCCCAGCACCAGTGAGCTTGGTCTCTCTGGTTCCAAAAGGGACCGAGGTCCGCCTCTTGGCCCTCCCAAGAAGCGGAACACCAGAGATCGGGGGGAAGGTGGCTGGATCCAAGGGAGCTGCTGAGCCTCTCTGCCCCCAGGGAGGAAATAAACTCCCCGGGGCAACTTCGGAGGCCCCTCCTTGAGATGTCATCTCCTGGGCCTCTTTCCTTCTAGGAGTGGCCTTGGCTAGGCTGCCTGCAGCAGCAACTAAGGGCAGGCAGCTGGGCCTGCCCCCAGCCTTCCCCCAGGTCACACTTTGTGGTTTCTTCGAGGACCTTTCCGCATCTCCAACAGCCTGCTTTTCCGCACCAGAAGTGAGTCGTCGGGGAGTGAAGGACAGGCAAGGGCCTGGCGCGGGAAGTAATTTCTCCCTGGCCTGGGCTCTCGAGTGCCTGGGTGCGTCCTTGGGGCTGCTGGGTTTGGCCTGGCCTCCTCCTTTCGGACAAATGCTCACCCTGATTAGCTGTATCTCACTGAACTCATCCGATGACTCAGAGTCGGACCACGGCGAGCTGACCAGGCCTTCCCCGGAGGGCTGCTGGCGACCCACAGGAACTTTTGGCCTATACCTAGCACCTTTCCTCAGGCTTCCCCAGGCTTGGCCTCCCTTAGACCCTCTGCGGTGGAACGGGGCGCTGGAAGCCAGCTTCGACCCCACCCAGCCGTGGGCCCTCACGCTTCTACCACTGGGACCTGGCTCTGCGTCCAGCCAAACGGTGGACACTTCTCTGTCACAGCTCTCTGGGGAGGGGTTTCTGTGGACACCCAGGCCATCTCGGTCGGTCAGCGCCTGCGGGATGGCCACTGCGCCCCTACTGCCAAAGTAGGTCGGAGTGGCTCCCTCAAAGTTGGCCGGGGAGCTAGGTAGGCCTTCGCAGCCCCGAGGCACCCGCCCTCCCGCTTCCATCACACCCTGGTTGGTTTCCAAGCGCTCGGGGGCTGGGAACTCGCCCTCGCTGCTCTGTGCGGTCCCCAAAGCAAAGCCCAGTGTGCCGACCCTCTCCGCGCACTCTGGGGCGAACCCCGCGCTCGAAACAGATCCCTCGGCCTCATCGGGGGAGCTCATGGTGCCAAAGCCTGAAAGTCCAGGTTCTGCCGAGACAATTACCCTGGGTAAGGCGACGTCGGAGGGAGAGTGTGCTGGCGCGCGCGCGGCAGGAGCACCGAACTTTCTGAAGAAGCTTTCTGTCAGTCACCACGGGCAACGCACGAGTTGGCCTCCGACAATGCACGACTTCCAAGCGCTTTCGACGCCCGGCGGAGGCCTTCTCATTGGTCCGCCGCCCACCGCCAATCAGCATGCCCCTTGTAAGCTCATCCCTCGAAGCCTAGCCAATAGTGTGGAGGGTCTCTGGTTGGGCCCGAAGCCTCACCCTACGGCGGAAGGTGGAAGCCGGCCTGGCGGAGGAGTTCGGTAGTCCTGGGGTGCTCCTCCCATCACTTCCGGTCCCGCCTCCTCTGGCCCGGCACCTTCTTTCCAGCTAGAGTCTCAACACTGAGACTCTGTTTCCCATGCACAAAGCGGGGAGGTGAGGGCACCTTGTCTGGTGTTGGGCGAGGGGTTGTGAGGGCGGAACGTCAAGGAAGGAGGAGAAGCACTTGGCGCCCAAAGGGTCTGCCAGCCATTATTCCACAACAAGACTTACCACCCAATGGGAAAAGGGGCACCGGAAGCCCGCGGTCAATGATGGGGGTCGGCCTACATTTTTCATAAAGGACCAAAGAACAAAAGTTCTCATATGGACGGGCTGTAGGTTGTCTGTCACAACTCAGTTACTGGTATGATGTGTGACCTCATCGGCCCGTGGCTTAGTGCTCAGGGAACTTTATTGGCAGGCCGGTTTGGCGGAAGGGCTGGGGTTTGCCCTGCTCTTTCAGCACGCCCCCGCTCTGAGTCAATTCAAAGCAGAGGGAATCCCGATGGCCCATGCACAGCCCAAAAGATGCTCACCGTCACTGATCCTGACGATACAAACGGAAACTACAAATCAATTTTCAGACACCACCTTTGCAGCAATTGAAGAGCCTGACCATTTCAAGGGTGGGAGAGGTTATGAGCAATCCTACAATTTGACAAATTATTATGAAGCGATCGAGCCATGTAACACTACCCAGGGGAAGAAAAGGTACATTGCCCCTCCAGAAGTCCCATGCCTGTCCCTTTCCGTGAAGGAAGCCAGATGCAAAACTCCACATACTGCGTGATTCCATCATACGGCCTTCTTGAGAAAGCCTGCCTGCAGGGACAGAGCACAGACTGGTGGTTGTCAGGGGCTGGGGGTTGAGAGAAGGGAGGAATTGGAGGGGGGTGAAGAAAATGTTCTATATTTTGGTTTTGGTGGTGGCTCCGTAGCAATATGCATTTATAAGGACTCAGAAGACCTTGTGTGTAAATTATATCTGAATAATTCCAACTTTTAAATGAAATTGTGGAAAGTACAACACAAATGGATATTTATACTTACTAATTATTTTTTTCTGAACACGAGGATCATAATTCTCTCCTGTAATATGTTAATGTGGAATATTTTGTTAATTATTTTCTGAAGTTTGATCAAGTTTGTATCCTTAGTTGAATCCAGTTTAGTCATTGTATATTATGTACTTTCTTTCCTATCCCCTGTAGGATCCTGTCTGCTAATATCCTTTTTTTGATTCTTGCTCCTATGTCATACGTGTGTGGTTGACCCATGATTTTCCTTTCTCGGCCTTTCTTGGTATATGGAATGATGCTCCAACCAACTGAGCCGCACCAGCCAGGGCAGTTTGTTCAGTGTGTTCATTATGAAATGTTGTTTGATTTTGTCAAATACCCTTTCTGCACCTGTTGAGATGACCACGTGCTTTAAGCCCTTTCTTCTTTTATTATCTTGTGTTATATAAATTGATTTTTACATGTTAAATCAGCCTTGTGAGGAAAGGAAAGGCGGGGAGGCTTAAGCTCCTATCACTAAATCAGTAATCAGGGAAGAATAATGAGCCTACCTAAATTCCTCCTGTGGCAAACCACAGGAATAGTCACATGTATATCACCTACAAAGTTTTGAAACTAAAGGTCCAGTGGTTGCAGAAAATACTGCATGTTCTTTCTGCATCCAGATAAAACGCATAACAAAGAGTTTCAAGACAATATAATTGTTTCTAGACCCAATCTTATCTTTCCTATACATTCTTTCCATTTGATGTAAAACTGTTAATCATTGAAATGTACCCTAATTAAGAATGCATCAGGTGCACTTTTCACTTACTCCTCTGCCTATATTAGCACCCCTCAAGCACTGTTTCAAGGTTTCTTGAATCTCTGCTTTCAGGTTACAGTCTTCATATAGGCCCAAACAAGAATTTTTTTTTACCTAAATTCACAGAGATTCAGGTTGTTGTCCCCCCCCCCCCGCCATTAACATTTACTTGGCGTAGCACAACAGGATCCGGAGTGAACTTCCCCGGACCACCTAAAGTTCATCTGGACCTAGCATTTGGTACCAGCCTGGACCCGTTGTGTCCCTCTGGCTCCACACTGTCCTTTGGATGTACTTGGTGAGTCCTCCTGGATCTGGATCTCCCAACTGGTTGTAGGTTCTGATTTTTATTGGGGCTGCTATATCCTCCTATAGTGAGAGATAAAAGTGGCTCCTAGGGAAAGAAGCCAGTGAGGAACACAGAGTGAAGGGGCTGGATGACTATTTATTCAGCCTGAAAACTAAAATCGTGCACCTGAACAATACCCATAACAATGGGAGACTGATCTTATTATACATTCATCTCCAAAGAAAAGGGACACTTGCTCCTTCCAGTCTCCAGGCATTCTCAGGTGACTGAGGACCTGGCAGAAGGGTCGGGGAGTCTCTCTCATGACATGAAGCGCTCCCATAGACAACCCTCTGAAGGCCATTATAATTAAAGAAAGGTTCATTCAGGGAACACACACAAAGAGTAGTCATCCAGTGTTCCAAGCACCTACCATAGTTTTAGACAAGAGGAGGGAAAACCAAGACATGTAAGAGATCTGAAAAGACTCAAGGTGACACCTTGTGCTAAGTGTGCTAAGCTCACAAGCAGCACACTTTGACCTGCTACCTAAAAATCCTTAGAAATTATCCTGACTGCAGAGACTTTAACAAAGAAATGAAAAGGAAAAAGAAAATATGGGAAATTGAGCTTCAAAAGCAGGCAAACCCGAGGAACGGCAGCCTCCCACTGGAACTCTGGCAGGGTTCATGTGCAATACGTACAGAGGCTCTATTTACAAGAGTTAATATGAGAAGTATATTTTAATTGATTTCTCAAAGCTTCAAAGGGAGAAATAAAAATTAGTCTCAATATAGGGGGTAAATGAGAAAATATTAGAGACTGTCTTGGAACTTTAAAGGCTTTTGAAGCCAACAGCCATCAAACCCCTTCTCATCAATCCCCCACACCCCTTTATCCACTCCTTTTCTGAACACCCTTATCCAGATCTTCCCTCGTTACCTCCTCCTCCTCTCTCTCCAAATGCATTCAAATTAGAAGAACTATCTAAAAATATCATAGAACTTAAAGAGCCTATTGAGGAAATTATAATAGCACCTTTCAAAGAAAATTCAGTTACAGGAAAAGGAGAGCCCTCACTTACTTGTGTCCCTCCCTTGGACAAGGATAGAACTAAAAAATTTAACCAGCCCTGGCCAGGCAGTTCAGTTGGTGTGAGCCTTGTTCACAATGTGCCAAGGTTGTGGGTTTGATCCCCAATCAGGCACATATGGGGTCAACCCATGAATGCATGGATAAGTGGAACAATGGGCCGATGTGTGTCTCTCTCTCCTTCCCTCTTCCTCTCTCTCTAAAATCAATAAATAATTTTTTTAAATGCATATTTAATGATTTTAGAGAGAGAAAGGGAGGGGAGAGAGAGAGCGAGAGGGAGGGAGAGAGTTGTGAGAGAGAAACATTGATCAGTTGCCTCCCATATGTGCCCTGACTGGGGATTGACTCTGCAACATAGGTATGTGCCCTGACCAGGAATCAAACTTATGACCTTTTGGTGTACAGGACAATGCTCCAATCATCTGAGACACACCAGGATAATGAATACATTAAAAAATAAAGAAAGAAAGAAAAAATGTAACCAAAGGACTCCCGGTCAAGATGGCAGCGTAGGTACACGCAGTACTTGCCTCCTCCCACAACCACGTCAAAATTACAACTAAACTATAGAACAACCATCATTCAGAACCACCTGAAGTCTGGCTGAATAGAAGTCCTAAGATGAGGAAATTGAAGAGGCCCATGGTGACTGGTAGGAGGGATAGACACACAGACAGGGTGGTCCGACACCCACGTGTGGTGGACAAAATCTGGGAGGGATATTTCAGCTGCAGAGGACCCCCCTCCCGCCCGAGGAGCAAGTGTTCCTAGCCCGATACCAGGCCCCCAGTCCAGGGTTCCAGTGCCAGGAAGACAAGTCCCCATAACTTCTGGGGACTGAGGTTAAGGGAGACGGAAAAGTTCTGGAGTCGCACGCAGTTCCTCTTAAAGGGCGCACACGCAGAGTCGCTATGAGCTCCAGCACTGGGGCGGCAGCTTGAAAGACACCAGAGGCATATGGAGAGGAACTGAATTGTTCGGCATCAGGGTACGAGGTAGGGGGCATAGCCTTCCCCCAGTCAGAAGTGCTAGCAGAGGCCATTGTTCCTTTGATGAACCTGTCTCCCACAGAGCCAGCAGGCCGGCACCATATCAGGGACTCCATCAACCTGGCTTACACTCTTTGCCCCACCCTGGTGATTCCCCGTGGCCCCACCCCATACAACTTTTGGGTCCACCCAAGCTGTTTCCAGCGGCTTTTTTTTTTTTTTATATGAATGGCCTGTCTTGGTTCACCCTTCAGACTTTCCTCAAATCTCTCAAACAAGCAGCAGCCGGCCTCAGCATGCCCCGTACCTCTCACTAAGTGGCCCCAAACCAAGCACTAGCAGTAGCCAGCCTTGGTTCACAGCTTGGCCTCTCCTGGGCACCTCCAAGCCCTGCACAAGTAGCAGCCATCTGAAGATCGCTTTGTAGCTCATAACAGGTGGCCACGGGCAGAGC